AGTGAAGGCGTCGAGGAAAGCTTGCGCCGATAAGTCGTCCACCACTTCTATATGGACGGCTTTAGTAACATGCAGATGAAGATTGCGAGATACGTCTTTACGAGAGTGCGAGAGCGCTTAGTTCCGATTCGCAGCGTAAACGGGCCGCAGTAGTCGACTCCCGACGAAACAAATGGTCGTGCAGGCTTGACTCTCTGCCCGGGTAATGGAGCCATTTGCTGCTTGAACATCAGTCCTCGATGAAGACGACACACTACGCATTTATGAACAAAACTCTTGACGGCTTGGCTCGCATGCGGAATCCAAAACTTGCGGCGAAGGGAATGTAGCATTAGCTGCGCCCCTCCATGGAGCGTAGTCTCTTGGGCTTGTTTTATTAAAAGCTTAACGAGCGGGGTAGACTTCGGAAGAATCAATGGAAATTGCTGGTCATGTCCTAACTCTGCGTTTTCGATCCGCCCTCCGACGCGCAGGATGTGGTTCTTATCTTGGAATGGATTTAGTGAGAGCAATCGCGTGGAAGATGACAAACCTGAACCGGCTTCCAGCTGCTTAATCTCGACCATGAAGTGCGTCTGTTGGTCAAGACGGATCAGTACTTCCAAGGCGTCGTCCATTTCCCGAGCTCCTATAACCGCTTGACGGAAATGTCGGCGTCTCTGCAACCAACGTAGAATAATAGCTACTGTGCGCAGTAATCGCTCAATCGAGCTAAAGCGTTCTGCTAATAACATGACCTGCCCATCTGGTCTCCGAGTCTCCAGTGGCTCGTGAAGAAGTGCGCTGGTAAAGCTCGAAACGATTCGCGCCTCTGAACTGAGCGCCTTAGATTCGTCGTGGCTGAGGGGGATCTCTTCGCTACCTAGGTACGCGTCTGTACCATCAGGTCCATGCCACCAAAGCGGGTGGCTCATCAGCTCCTCGAGTGATATGCCTCGGCTAGCACAATCGGCAGGGTTCATTGCTGAGCGGACGTGATGCCATCTATCTGCGGAAGTCAACTCCTGGATCCTTCGGACCAGATTCGAGACAAATGGTTTCAATGTGGTATGTTGTTTCTTCAACCAGCATAAACCGATCGCAGAGTCCGACCATAAGAAGTATGGGGCTTCAACCAAACTC